GCGTAGAAGGACTGAAGAACTCCTAATTCATCGCACATTACTCTCTGGACATTGTCTGCGAAGAGTCTAGAGTTGGCCTTCTCTTCATCATTAGGGAAATAGGGCTCCAATTTAATGATTTCACAACTCGTCCACAATTCACTCAATGAATAAAACAAGATTTTTAAAAGTCCGGGTCCTTCCTCTACCCACGACTTCAAATCGTGTTCTTCAATACAAATGCAATCAATAATTAAGTAAAATGTAATTAATTGTTGATTTGATAATTGAATACTTCCGACATCCCATTTGATGACAACCGGTTGGACAGCGAGTGCTGGAAGAAAGGCTCCCATTTTGAATTGAATGAGGGATTTCCTGTTAATACAGGTGCCCTCCGGGAACAGCATTATGTCGCCGACAGTCGCCCGCGATTTGATGTCATTCGTCGCCTTCAGACGCGAATCCTTGTCGTCTCGGTTCACATACACGGGATCGCAAAGGTTTATAATACCTGATCATTGGGTTTACAATTAATTACTAGAATATACAACAATTGGCGCAATAATACTGACTCCCAATGAAAGGCATCCTTGAGTTCTCAATACGAGAGACAACGGACGGCACTCCGAGTTTCAAAATCGCTATCATATCCCAAAAGGTCGAGTGCGGAGCGATTGGGATAATTGTCGGTTTGATTCCAATTTTGGTCTTCTTTTCGACGACTTTAATCCAATAAAAACCACTGAAGAATAGCGCACAACGAAGAAATCCAAACACTATATGTTTGCATATTTTTCTAGAAATGTTAGTTAAAAATCTTTAGTTAAAATGACTTGTGTTTGAAATGTTTCAAAAGCCATACTTTATAGTAATGGTTGGAATTCCTGTTAAATTCAATAAATTGATGGAATTTGAGAAGAAAGAGGCCAAAAGTGCGGCACAAAGTATACACAATAGCAATGGTATTATTCTGATGAGGAATAATACTGAACCAAAACCATAGATCTAATAAACAATTTTATAAATTGTTTAACAAATTGATCAAACAATTGAATTGAACGATACCTTAATGTAATCAAATACTGAAAGTTTTGGTTTATTAATGAACGGATTGACACATATTTGGTTGAGAGGAGTGTTGAGAATATTCTGTGCCAAAAGTCCAAATGATTTGCTCTTAAAAGTTGGTTTTATTTGCGTTTTATTCTCCATTTAAAGGGTTTTTATAATTATTAGCAAAATGGGAATCGACTGTATTTTCTGTGTATCAAAAATTTTAAAATAATTTAAATAGTAATTTAATAATAAATTGTGTCACGAATTTATTAATGTTTAATTAAAATAAAGCAAATTAGCGAATCTGCACGAGATATGAGATCGCTTTACAATGTCTTTTAGTGTTAAAGTTTGTAAAATTAATGTTATTTTACTTTTAATTATTTTATTTTATTTAAATCTTGTTTTATTTATGACAAATACATATTTCCAATAAAATCCTAAAACAATTGTCAAACCATAAGAAATTAGAGCACAAAAATTGACAGTAATTTAAGACATTTATTTTACAAATAATTTTTGATCAAAATTTAAAATTAAAAACATATAAAAGATAATCGACTGATGGATAGAAAGATAGGAATGGATGAGAAGTGATATAACCGATAGTTTACTAACAACATCGGCGATGAGTACCAATGTATGCGCGACATTGAGGGCACCGGTGCTCCACGTCCTGACACTTGTCCACACAGAAGGGGATGAGACAACAGCCACAGAAACAACCGATCAAACAGTTTACTAACAACATCGGCGATGAGTACCAATGTATGCGCGACATTGAGGGCACCGGTGCTCCACGTCCTGACACTTGTCTACACAGAAGGGGATGAGACAACAGCCACAGAAACAACCGATCAAACAAAGACCAACGGCGAGACTCCAAGTGAGGGCACCGGCTATTGGCACCGTATGAGTGACCACTTGTTGTCCACAGTTTGTACACTTCATACTCATGGGATACGGACTCGTCTGCATATTCTGTACGACCACAACATTGTTGAGAGACTCCAAGTGAGGGCACCGGCTATTGGCACCGTTTGAGTGACCACTTGTTGTCCACAGTTTGTACACTTCATACTCATGGGATACGGACTCGTCTGCATATTCTGTACGACCACAACATTGTTGGCCGACTGGGGATCAGCTTTGGTTTGAGCCATGGATTTGTCGCAACAGATATACAAACAAAGAGACACACAATTTGATAAATTTACTATTATTTGTAAGATTTACACAAATGAGTGATTCAACGACTTTCTGTTTGATTTCAATTCTGACTAAATAACCGTTAAAACCGTTATATAAATCACATTAACTTACATTACAAATAATTAAATCCATTGTTTAAAATGATAGCACGAAAAACAATATTATATTATAATGAGACATAACTTTATTTTAAAATAAATTGATTTAATTGACTTATTCTTGACTACACGTAATCTCTTAAATCTTTGATCAAAATATATAATCCTTTTTAGAAAATGAATTCACAACTTATCTGAATAATTATTCTGTAAAATACAACTGTTTAGAACTGATTTTCAAAATTACAAAAAGTTATGTATTTTATTAAACTGTTTAATGAAATATTTACAAAGAATAAGAATTAATTTTGTCTAACAATCTATTAATACATATACTGTATAATTATAAGAAGAATAATGTGTTTTAAAGATGTTTTTGAGATAAGTGTTATTTTTTGTCCATTTTGTCGCTGGCTTTTCCGTCGGTGACGACAACTACTTTGGGCTCTTTGTATGCGATGGCAATCATATCTATCTGTTTCATCATAAGTATGCAACAGATGGCCAGTGATATGGAGGCCGTAAGGAATATGACGGCACCGACGTGTAGAGCGATCTCGTGATTGAATTGATCCGTCCGATTGAAGAGCCAGTAATACAAGAGACAAATAATCGCTGAGAAAATCCAAACAAAATTAATGATAGAGCAGATGAGGAATAGGACACGATTTCCACATTTGATGGCATACCAGCCAATCGGCGCCGATATTAGTTGCATAATAGCGAGTCCGCCGAAGATAACTAAATGTGTTTTTCCCGCATAGAAAGCATAGGCACACAAACCCAGAATAATCTGGTTTATGGCCAGAATCAGCACTAATAAACATAAATGACTGATAATTCTTTTGAGAAGTTTTAGTCTTTCCTCGTCCTGAAGCGGATCTTTGCTTCCCATCACTTCCGCCGACTTCTTTTGATTGTCCTCTTCTTTGGTTTTTGAGTCCTTGTTTTCAACAGAGCTTTTAGTCGTTTCTTTAATTTTGGATTCCTTTGGTGTCTTTGGAATGGGTTTGGATTCCATTGAATTATATTAAATGACAATCGTTTGGGATTTATTCAAAGAAATCTATGACAACACTTACAACACTTATATGTCTTTAAAATATACGTTAAAGTATTTTACAAAATATGGTTCAAATCAAATTCAAATAAAGTTGAATTCAACGGAAAATAATATTTTTTATAAATTTTAACAATTAATAGAAGCAAATGATTAATAAATATATCGTTTTTGACATTATTTGCAATGTTTTTAAACAAATTATTCTAAATTCAATTAAGATATAAGAAAAAGAAAACTATTATAAAATATAACATTTAAAGAATAAATTATTTAAAGCACAAAATTGATTACAATTAAAATATTTATTTATAAATCAATATTTGAACAAAATTTGAATTTGAAATTTTTTTAAAGACAAACATAAAAATAAGACAATTGATTGAAAAATATATTAAAGAATATAATGTTGAGAATGGATTGAAAGGGAGGGAAACCATGGGTTTAGCGACAGCACCGACGATAAGTGGCCAAATGTGTGCGACACTGCGGACAGCGGTGTTCAATGTCGTGACACTCGTAGACAAACCACGGGATGAGACAACAGCAACAGAACCAGAAATAACAAAGAGGCACAGACAGAGACCACACAAGTACTCCCGGTGTCGGCACAGTATGAGTGACCACTTGTGTCCCACAGTGTGTGCACATCATATTCATGGGATACGGACTCGTCTCTATGGCCATCACAGTAGTGCCCGACTGAGGATTCGCTTCAGTTTGTGCCATAGATTTGGGATTGTGTTTAGTTAAGACACAGAAGAGACACAATTTGATATTTAATTCAATATTATTTGTAAAATCTTTGCACAAATTAATCAACGACTTTCTGTCAGTTTGAAATTCTGAATAAATACTAACAGTTATCCTATTTTACAAATTATTGATTTATTATTTAAAATAAAGCAGTTTTAATGATAGCGCGACTAAACAATACTCTTTATATAACTAAATACTGTTAACACATTTTTTTAGAAAATTAGTTTAAATTGTTATCGATTTATGATTATACATAAATTCAATGTAAATATTCAATGAATTCAATATATTTGCGTTAAAATTTTAAAATATTTATTGAGTCTTAATATCAGTCAATGATTTTACAGTTAATTCAGACTTTATTTTATCAACTTTTACAGGAGTTTTGCAATAAAATTGCAATATTTTTCTTTTTGAAAATAAATTAAATCCGTTGTCAGAAAACTCTCCGATTATATCGGACTCCAGAGTAAAGTCTAACCAAACAAAGAGCGCAATATTGTCGGTCTCGACGACAATGTCGTAAACATAATTTGGGAGATAATTGTGAGGACCAGTGATTTGAGTAATCACTAGATTTGCATTTTTCATGCCATTCGAGTCTCGAAGTAGACTTAGAAATAGGAAATTATTTGCTCTTAAAATGTTTGGTTCATTTTCAACACTCACTTCAATTAAACACTCTCTTCTGTCCAAACAATTGCCAGAATTCATGACATTTGTGATGGAGTTTTCGTAAACTATTTTTGATGAAAAGCCTTCAGTGGAGACAATAGTATGTGCGGTGAGGGTTGGGTTCAGTGACGACCACTTCAACACTTTGATCGATAAATTAAATGCCAAACTTCCGGAATAATCGTCGCGAATGACCGCAACTTTTAACGTCTCGTTCTCTTCGTACGGAACGAGTAATAAATTGTCAAAAATATTTTTCATAAAATAGTGAGACATTTTCCATTTGCCCCCAAACTCTAGTGAAGCCCACGTCGGCGCCGGCCATATGTCGTTGAGCTGCCAATACAGGGCACCCATAGTAAACCCCTCACCGCTTAATGGATTAATGTCTCGATTTCTCCGATAAAACTCAGTCTCTGTTTTAAGAGCCATCGCCTGAGCTAAGCCGGCCATATGTCGTTGAGCTGCCAATACAGGGCACCCATAGTAAACCCCTCACCGCTTAATGGATTAATGTCTCGATTTCTCCGATAAAACTCAGTCTCTGTTTTAAGAGCCATCGCCTGAGCTATTTGTGATAGATATATAAAATCATCCAATCTGTCGATCCCTCCGCTAACTGGGAGTCGCATATTCTTGTCAATCAAATTTGTGATTTCATTGTTGCCATTCGTGTGATGTTGTCTTTCAACGATTGCCGCACTTAATGGGAATGTGAGGTCCGATGTGTTGACGACTTTTGATAAACTTTTCAATGAAGGAAACGATTGGAAACCAAATTCTGAGGCAAACTTAGCGCTCGGGTATTGTTTCCAATCCCATGCCTGGGGCTGATAGTAGTAGAAGTGGACGTCTCCGTAGACATTGCTTTGGGGGTCACTTGAGAGCCAATTTCTTTTGATTGTCTCCAAACCATTAGATGGACTCGACGTTAGATATGGCCGAGAATTATCTTCTCTGAGCACAATTTCGCGGATGAGTTCAACGTATAATTTAATGTAATCTCTTTTATATGTTTCCTAAAAAGTTAATAATAAAATGAGAAATAATGACAATAAATACATTGTTAATCATATGAACCGATTTAAACATGATTTCGGGCCACCAGTACTGTGCGATCGCCGCCTCGTTCTCGTTGTTGCCTAACATTCAAAACAATTAACACAATGTAATCAATAAGTGATTGATAGCAATACCGGCCCACAAAGCAATGGACGAATGGTGTTGCAAACGGCGGATCTGTTGCGTGACTTCTGTGTTAACTGAGTCCAAGAACTGGCTGTCGACGGGATATAAAGCACAGGCAAACATAAAGTCGTGCCAAATAAGTATTCCTAACTCATCGGCAATTTGGTAGAACTCGTCCGACTCATAGACCCCTCCGCCCCAAACCCTCAACATATTCATATTGGCCTCACGAGTCGATTGCAGTAAATCTCTTATATAATCGGTGGACAGGGATTCTTGAAAGACATGTGCGGGGATCCAATTCGATCCCTTGGCATATAGAGGCAAACCATTCACTTTGAAATAAAATGTTAATCCTCTCGGTTTAATGGGATCTTGAATTAACTCAATAGTCCGGAAACCAATTCTAATAGTTTTCTCGACAGTCTCTTCAGTAGTCGTGAAAATAACTCTCATATCGTACAGCATTTGAGCCCCCATTCCGTTTGGATACCACTTATGGATTACAAGCGATTCGTTTACTGGTATTTCCAGATTAAGCACTGCATTGCCATCGGCTGATGGCATGAGTTGGACACGACTTCTCAATATAACAGTATTATAAATAGATATCTGAAGCAAACCCTCGAATTGAGTGTAATAAATAGACTCGTAATGAATAGTAGTATTTAAGAGCCATTTGTCGTTAGGTTGAGGGATAGTATTGACCACAATATCTCTAATAATTGCCGAATCTATGGATTGGATTTCAATATTCTTCCAAATGCCTTGTGTTGGAAAGGATGGCCCCTATAAAAGGTAATTTAACAAAACATTATTCTGTCAATTAATAGCATTAATATTCAAACCCAATCCCAACTGAAAGAAGACTGCATTTTGCGGATATAGTTTGCGTGCAGTTCTCCTCTTTGCACAAAAGGAGACGATTCTAAATAAATCACAAAAATTTTGTTATTATTTTATAAAAATGTGAAGAATATAATGATAACGACCGGGCGGTACAATGTAGTTGTCCCGTATGTATCGGTCGTGAGTTCTTTGGGCATAAGTGACGGCCGATTCAAATGAAATCCGAATCATATTTTGTCCAATTCTTAAGTGCGGTTTTATATCGAATTTGTACCGAACGAACATATTATCGGTGTTTCCAATAAACACATCATTTAAATATATGGCACTAATTGTGTCCAAACCATGACATATAAGATATACTCCTTTCTTGTCGATAATATTTTCGTCCACTTTTTTGTGTGTATTTTCAATAAAATGTTAGTTTTAAAAACTTTGATTTCATTAATTTTCTAACCATTGAATATTTTATCAAAAGTCCAGTTAGCATAAGAAACCCATTTATAGTTGAAGTCATTACTGCCATAATAGGGATCCTCTTTCAAAACATTATTGCGGATGAGATCCGTAAATATAGAACCGGGAACTCTGGCCAACACTCGTATTGCTATTAATTAGTGTATTAAACAATTAAGGTTTTAATTTCTTATAACAATTTTAAACAAATTTTACATTTATCTTGATTTGTTGCGAACCAATCGTTTCCATTAAGTGATTGAGTGATCGATTGAATTGTATTAAATGTAATGCAAAAAATAAAAATAATTGCCAATTTATTCATCATTTATGCAGTCATTCGTCGATTTATATGCAAAACCCAAATGTAAACGATCTCTTGTATCGAAATTGATGTTTAGTTTTCAGGTTATTTAAACAGACTTTCGATGGATATAAATATATATTGAAATTATATAATAATAGTTTCATATAATGACTTCAATATAATAAAATTTTTATTTTTAGGTTATATTTTTTTGACAACTTATTTGTTATAAAATATATTTTATTTTATTCAACAAACAGCAGCTGAGGGTAAATTTTATTTCATTTTTAATATGTTTTTAAGTTTATAACAAATAAATATGGACTATAAGTGAAAATTCAAGTTTGAGTATAAATAAACACAACTTATTACCAAATTGCTGATAAAATTGATTTCATTTAAGGATTTATAAATCATTTGCATTTGACATGAGATAAGGAAATGTGTCACAAAAAACAGGAAAAATGCGAACTTCTATATTATAAGAGCAAAAGTTTTGTTTATTGGCCTTCAATTCATTGAAAATCAATATTCACTTATTAATACTTTTATGAATATTGTTTACTGGAAATGTTTATTATCATTAAATGATATTTTTACTACATTTCTAATGTAAAACTAATAATAAAACACAAAATATTAATATTACTGTACTCTTAATAAATGAAAAAACCTGTATTTCTATTGGAATCGAAAGTTAAGTATTATATAAATGTTACTCTAAAACGTGTGATTTCTTAATTGAATTATTTCTTAAAACTTTTATTTTTTTTTGGTTAAAATTATTTAATTCAAAAGATATTTAAAAATTTAGAGATTAAATATTTAAAGTTATAAAATTCCTAATTCTTATATATGTACAAACTATTGATAATTGTTTAGTATATATTTTAATTGTAATAATTTATTAAATGTTTAATATGTTTTATTTCAAAGTCGATCATTAAAAGCAAGAAAAAAGTATCCAAATATCACACAGAATATTGTCTTTAATATAACATTGAATTCCTATCATAAGAGATGTCATAACAAACGCTTTCAAGTCTCACATGTTTTGCATTGCATTTGTTGTAAACATTGTCTCAAATGAGAGTTCAATTTAAAAGTTTATTATTATTGAAAATTTCAATCAATTTGAAATAAATCATTTTTGAACACATTTTGTGGTCAATCAGTCATTTAATCCATGGATTTAACTGAAAGTCAAAACTGTTTCCAAGAGTTGGTGTCAAAGATATCGTCTCAAGATTTGCCACAATTTTTCCAATGGATTCAAACTAAATATTTGGTCTCAGGTTTGGATCACATTATTATCAATCACTGTATCATTGATTTAATGTATGAGAAAAACCATTGAACAGACTGTTCGGGCGAAAAGCCAGCCATCGCTTATCAAACACTGAACCGTATCTCCAATGATATCAAACTAATGGTTCCCAACTATGGACTCATGTCTTCAGAAGTGATCACATTTCCAGCAGAAGGACAGGTATTTTGACTATATTTTTATATTAATTTAATTGCTTATTAAAACTGTTGTCTGAAATGTACTGCCATTTGAAGTATTAATAAAGTGGAAAATTATTGTATTTAAAGTGTTTGATATGTGTTTTGCTATTATTTGTAACTATTATTGCATTTATGATTGAATGAAAAGATTGCGAATAAAGTAATAACAGATAATGTGTTTGAATTAGAACTCAAACTGCAATGCAATCAATACGATAGCAATCGATGCCTTCCTTTACGACGATCTCGACGTCGAAGACCTCATAGAAGAGGAAAGGCTTTCACGACATTACTGTTTGGACTGTAATTCACGTCATATTAAGCCTTTGAGTGAGTTCTTTGCCAAAACACTTCACTTGCAAAACAACTTAACTTTCTTTACAATTACTTAAGTGTTTGTTTGCATAGAAAGTAATTGAAATATTAATTGTTTTATTGATTATATTTAGATTTTATTTCGCATTCGGCGTCTAAAAGGAGAATATCTTTCATTTTCACCGGTTTTCTAAAAAATGTTGATTTTAGTGACAAAACCATTTTGGACGTCGGCTCACGTTTGGGTTCTCTTCTCTATGGGGTTAACCTTCTCTTTGTTTAATTACTTGTATATTAACAGTGGATTTGATTCTAGGCTTATGTCTATACAAATGCAAAACAAATAATAGGAGTGGAAATGAATGAAGAACTCTGTTCTCTACAAAATACTATAATTGAAAAGTACAAAATGAATGACAGAATAAAAGTTAGTTTTTGTGATATTTAGATATAATGCCTAATCAATGGGTGGGATATGTATTTTCTTTACAGTTTTGACCCATTTTTCTCATTTTTAGGTTATCTGCAGTGATGTCTGTATTCTCCCACAAATAGTGAACACTTCGGATGTGATACTATTAAACAATGTCTTTGAGTTCTTCCAGAACCGGTCCAAAGAGATGGAGTGCTGGGACTTTCTGTATCAGAATTGCAAATCAGGTACTATTCTGGTGACAGTTCCCAGTATTGAAGACTCATTCCAGAGTTTACAACAGGTTTGCCATTATTTGTAATAATATTTATGAAATATTTATGAATAATGAGTTTGTTTTGAAAATATAATTTAGAGTACAATTGATTTATCGAAATGGATTTTACGCCAACAAGTCGTCGACCCATTGCTCGCG